ACACACACACACACACACACTCACTTTAGACTCAGGGAGTTCCTCAGGCTATTGTCAGCTAAAAACAGTGAAGTGAACGTCCATGAAAATGAATAAGTTAGCAGATGGTTGTTTCTTGCCAGTGTTGGAGGGAACCTAACCTAACCTAACCTATCAACTCAAGAGCTTCGAGTATAATTGAAATATCTTTTTTTAAATTACAAATATACTAAAATGTTATGAAAAGATTAATTTTACTTTTTTCATATAATCAGTCAATTAGTGATAGACATATAAACAACAATTATGATTTACACTTGATTCATAATGGACGCAATCCTCTCTTGATTCACTAGTACTTGCTTCATAATGGTTGGAATCCTGGAATCCTCCCGTGATTCACTAGTACCTGCTTCATAAGGGTTGGAATCCTCTCTTGATTCACTAGTACTTGCTTCATAAGGGTTGGAATCCTCTCTTGATTCACTAGTACTTGCTTCATAAGGGTTGGAATCCTCTCTTGATTCACTAGTACTTGCTTCATAAGGGTTGGAATCCTCTCTTGATTCACTAGTACTTGCTTCATAAGGGTTGGAATCCTTTGCTAGAACGCATTGGTGATTTCACATTCCCGCCTCATGTTTTGCCTTAGGTTCATAAAGTCTGGGAATCAACTGGTTGAAACTGGTCTCGTATCTGGTTACAGCTGGTCTCGTATCTGGTTACAGCTGGTCTCGTGTCTGGTTACAGCTGGTCTCGTGTCTGGTTACAGCTGGTCTCGTGTCTGGTTACAGCTGGTCTCGTATCTGGTTACAGCTGGTCTCGTATCTGGTTACAGCTGTAGGCCGACACAATTACCGTACGTATCAAGTGAATATATTGCACCGAATAAAAATTGGTTGGCTGGTGTAGCGTGGTGATCACCTGGAGGGGCTGGCGTGTGGTCGGGCCTACGTGGAGTTCCCTAGAGCCACACGCTTGGTCTCTCTATATTTAGCTTTCTCCCTCCCTCTTTGTAACATATCTTCCTCCACAAGTCAACGTGTCCCTTACGTTTTACAACCACAAAAGAATCACCATACACCATATTTTTCAGGGTAACGTTGTGTGATTCACGAACTCGAACACTTGGTCCCCGTCGTTATGAAGTGGTGGAGGAAGCTGTGAGTGTCATATTTACTGGTGTACACTGTTACCCCTCGTTGTTTAGTCTTTATTCCGGACATTGCATAGCAAACGGCGCTCGATAATTGCAAGACACTGCCATACTCGGCGCAGTGGGAAAAACTTTCATAAGTTTAACGAAGATAAGTAAACGTTTTCTAGACCTTTATAATGAATGAGAAGTTTATATCATTTATTAATCATCACTTCAATGCTGCATATTATTTATAAGGGATAAAAGGTGCATCAGGATGGTGTGTTTGGGCACCACTGACAGAATGCCTCGTCCGACACAGTTCGACCCTGCATGTGAGCGTCACTATGTACAGGCTTGACTAAGTCGACTCAGTGTTTATCAAACTGCGGGAGTGCGCAGACGTACTGTGGTGTGTGTGTGTTATGTGTGTGAACCGAGGCGCTCTTTATTGTTCTTTAGTTACTTGTGGCCACTATTTCTTATATGAGCTGTCGTTGTTTGGGTAGACAGTTTATCATGCAGCGATTGTACTCTTTGTGTGAAAACTTTAGAGTGCCACGGGGCATTAGTGATGACATAACATTTCTATAGTTATGGTCTCTTGTAACTAATGTGTCATACCTGCTACACCTTGTGATTGCTTCCATCGAGTAATGTTTATACCAGCACCACGCTAACGAGTGCAGATTTACCTTGTATATTGATTATGCAGTTTAAGGTTAAATTATCTAGATACGAAATACAGACGTAAAAAATGGCAACCCAATGTTAGTTAGCCTTGAGGAAATACTAAAACATTGTCTAGCTTTCAGTTAGTGTGTAATTGAACAGTGTTGCACAATATCAGACCTTTTCATGACTTAACATATAAAATATACTATTGTGCAGAGTTTGAGAAAGTTGAGTGTTTGTAGTGGTGAGGAGGAGTGGACAGCTCGGGTAACTAACATATCTTGTCACAAGTTAAAGCGTAGTAGTGAAGAGTTTGTATTCATTTCTCTACTGGTTATATTACCGGTAGAGTTATTTTGTAGTGTTGTTGGTGACGGGTGTAAAGTTCACTTCTACCCCGACACCGGAACTCCCAGTGTAGAAAATATCATAGGCACATTGTATTGAAACCTGAATTGTTTAGTACATTTTAACGTTTAAATCTGTTATCACCATTGTAACCTACATAGAATAATACATAAAGTTCAACTGCAATGCCCTATAAACCAGTCCACTAACCCACTTTCTTGATTTGGTTATACGTGAACATATCCCTTTAAGATACCACTTTGATATTTTCGATCACCAGAAGATTAGCCCCAAACTTATGTCACCTTAAGATTAATCACCCTAACACTAACTTAACCCAGGTAGCGTTACGTTAGGTTATGGTAACTTACACCTCAACAACTGCCCCACACCTTAACGAGATAGAGCCTCAGGTGACCAACATAAGGTGCCATTATGGACCTTATGCCTTATGCCAATTTGTGGTCTTCGTGTAACATTAGTATTTTAATATGAACATTTGTGTCATTTTGAATATTTGTTTACATGTAATAGTGTACTGTAATTTTTATAGTATTAGTTTGAGTGTATTAATTACTATAAGTTATATATAAGATGTAAATATAATACAGATGAGGTGGGTGACGTATATCTGTACCTCACCGCACCTTACCTCACCTCACCGCCCCTTACTTCACCTCACCGCTCCTTACTTTACCTCACCGCTCCTTACTTCACCTCACCGCTCCTTACTTTACCGCTCCTTACCTTACCTCACCGCTCCTTACCTTACCTTACCGCTCCTCACCTCACCTCACCGGCCGGCGCTCCAAACATGACGTCATAAAAATGTTTTCCTACAATGTCGAGTTTTGTTAAATTTTTCTCTTCTCGTTAAGATATATAAATATTTTTCTCGAAGCAATATGAATGTCATTGTTTCCTTGGTCCTATATAATATCTGGTAGAATACGTTAGAAGCTAGAGATTAAGTATTTGCCGCACTGTTTCTGTTGTAAATACATTCATTGTCATTCTTAGAAAACGTCATTTATTGTTAGAGTGAATGTTTGAATGTGTGTGTGCGCTGACAACTCTTTGTGTGTATACAAATGTGCATCAATGCTTCCGTGTATACATTTATGTGTGTTTGTACGGGAGAAAGACTTGATCACCTGCCAGACCAAACGGAAAGTTCTGAGTGTTGTTAAGTGTTTCACAAGGTCACGAACCAACCAAGGAGCTTCAGTGTTGACTCCATGACTCAACCTTTCTCGTCTCTCATCCACTTCTTCACTTGTGTTCTGCGTTTATATTGAAATTTCTCCTGTCATTCATCCCTTTCGATTTTCCTTTACATTATTATCTTCACTTTTTACCTTATTTCAGTCATATCAACCGGTTGTGGGTGTCATCCATCCTCTTTACTCCAGCCACATCTAATATCCGCTAGACTAGAGGACTTGGTAAAGAAACATGGGAGTACAATATTAACCCAAATATTTCCCTGATATATGAGATAAACACAGCAAATACATTCCAAGGTTCAAGCTGTCATGGTAGGTAGTTATTCACAGCTTATCTCAATCATTCTCTGATATAAATTACTCACTTAAGGGTAATATTAAGGTGTAATGACCAGTGGGTATCTCCCCCCACCCTCCATCAATGGTGTTAGGATGATGAGGCAGTATTTCAGATTTAGGACACGTTCTGCTCTAGTATCTTGTTGGTTAGGTTAATTATAGGATTGTTATATATCAGCTCCAATTGACATAAAACTAACCTAACCTCTGATTGTAAGGTTTCCGTGTGAGGGAGTCTAAACTTTGAGTAATAATTTCAGCCAGTGGTGTTGTCTGACCGTGTGAGTGGGTGAGTCAAGTAGAAAGAATAAAAGTAATTGTATTGAAAAGTCAGATTAGGAGTTAAAACACAGAATATCATGAATGAAAACTATGCCTTCAGATAGTAGACTTTGCAAACCCCTAAAATTTCATAGTTCATTTGAATCTGAAATCGGGAAGGCAGATTTAATAAGAAGGATTACGGATGAGGTCGTTTCTGTAACTGTTTTAACCCCTTCATTACGAGGACGCTAATTTTAATATTTTATTTTATTAACACCAGACTATTTTATTTAGCTCACAGGGGAGATCATACACAAGGGATAAACCTCTCATTAATTATCTACCATTTTATATCCCTATAACAAATGCCTTTATAAACAAAAAAATTCATTTCTTTGTATTGTTTTGGCAGATGACACAACACCCGCCAGATTTGATAGTAACCTCGTTCATATTTTCGTCCCTTACATAAACTCTCATTATCACAGATTAGATACAGGTTATATCCCGCTCTCGTCCCTGTCTCCTATATCTCGTGTCATTGAGTTGCGATTTCTCTCCCACCTCCTCTCGATCTTTCTGTCTTGGGGAAATTTTCAAATACAGAAACCGTCTCAGTTATATACTCACGATCTCTAGCATTTCTTTCTCTGGGGTTATCGTTCATCATGTCACCAGGATAGTCCCTTCTCCTGTTCTTTGATCTAATAAACATATCAGAGAATGAATCCTTGGCCCGTTCATGCCACGGGTTCCTTACTGCAGCTCCGACTTTCATCTCATATATCTTATACTCTCAGATCTTCCATACCACCCCGATCTCTCTCTCTCTCTCTCTCTCTCTCTCTCTCTCTCTCTCTCTCTCTTCGCCATTTTATTCTTGTTTTTAATACCACCGTTTTATCATCTCTTGTTCTCTCAGTTGTTCACATTTTCTTGTTCTTACCTGCTTGAAGGTGTGTGTGTGTGTGTGTGTGTGTGTGTGTGTGTGTGTGTGTGTGTGTGTGTGTCCTCCCGTTCACATATCTTGGGATGTATATATAATTGTGAAAGATGGTTGTAGGAAAATTCTCACCACGTATGACTTCTGACATCATCACTACTGACAGACGTTTACTCCACCTAAGTCGTGTTCTTGGAAAAATTAACATCATTTCCCTACCGAATACTTATCTAAGTTGTATAAACAGAATTTTTCAGATAAATCATAACTGGATTTGTGGCGTAGAAATAACGACAATTTTCAACATTTTCGAAAAGATTGTAGGTGTGCATCCAGGGGTGACGATGTATGATAATACTAAAAACAAGGATAAAAAAGACTGGGATGTTTCTGTATGGAGATTAGCTTCTAAAAATGTTAATTGGTTTCAGGTAAATAAAAAAAAACCACGATTAGTCCCCTCCCCCCCCACGCCCCAAAGTCACTCCTGTGGGATATGATTCTTGCTATGGCTCCTCTGACTCCTAACTGGGCCTCTCGTCTCACTTGGAATCCATGAGAGGGTCTGATGGTCTAACTGGTTACAACTGGTGGAGTTAGCTGGTCACATGTCTTGGTTACAGGACTGCATACTTACCAGCATTTGGGAGACACTAGGTAGCTAGGTCACCCCTCTTACAGGAGATAATCTAAGGGGGGGGGGGGTTTGGATGGGTCAGTGTGAAGATAAGACATTGAAAAGTTTGTCTTAGAGAATTAATGCATCGCAACTGTCGATTTTATTTAAAGTATTTATAAGGGAAATGTCCTATTTTGATGAGTCACTGATCTGTAGGTTAGGTTAGACCAATTTACCGACCTATCAATGACCCGTCGAAATATTGAGCCTTAATTTGTTTATAAAAGATTCTAGTAACATAACTTAGACTGCTATAAAACGAGAAACCCGGGAGTGACAATGATGTTTGTCTTACCGAGGATATCAATTTTCAGCTTGGAATGCAGGAAAAAAATGCAGAAGGGAAGAGCTTAGGGGGTGTTTTGATTAGTGATGTGATATTAATTTTCTAAACACAACTGGCATAGAAGGTCATGAAGTGAATCGCCTGCTTGTTGATTCCAAAAGTGTTGGAGTACACACACACAGTCATAAAGTGTGTTCCTGGAAATACTTATACAGACTTGTTCCACCTGCAGAAAGAAAGTAATAAAACATTTTTGTTGTGTAAACATAGTTATTGATATACTGTACTGTGTGCAGTGTTTCAGGTTAAGGTATCTATGTGGGGATTCCTCCCTTGTTACGAGTATTTTCATAATGTTATTGAGTGATGGGTGGGCCAGAGGCTGCTGTATTTTCTGAAGGTGAAAATGTGTCCCATAAACCTGACGGCCCGTATAAAGCAGTGTGGGTACAGCACATTGCAGTACACGAAAAGCCATTGTGACCGACCACAACTGTAAAGTTAGGTGCCTAATTTACTACTGGGTGAACTGGGGGTGCCCTGGGTGTGAGTCAGGGATCTTAGGATAGGAGGCTAGTTATGTATCTCGGCCACCACACCTCTCCATTTTCTAAATAAAAAATGTTTCGCTTGGAAGCCGGTGGTTACCTGCTGGTGGTGGTGGTGTTAGGCACCTGGAGCTAAGCGATAATTCTCCTTTTTAACACCGAACTGCTGTAGTGAACCAGAGATGTCGTGTGAATATCATACATAGTGTATTGTATTGTCTAGGACTCACCAAGAAAATCTTTAGAGGTGATAAGGTTGTGTGTGTTGAGGGATGATGCTCGTGGTGGTCACGTGACAAGACACGTTTATCACCTGGAAGAAGTAAAGGACTGGTGCTCGCCTGTGTTGTGGAGTGTGGTGTACCGTACAGGAGGTGGCACCTTGGACTGAGACACCCAACGTAAGCAAGTGAGAATGACAGAAATGGCAAACGGTGAAGAATTACGCCTTCAGCAGCTGGTGAACGGCGACCTGCCTCTCATGGAGGTCACGCCTACCGTCACCATCGAGCCCAACAATATTCCGAAGTACATTGCTAAAAGATCCAGTAAGTGGCACCTTGTCTAGTGTTCTCTCTCATTCTTGCTTTTTGCTTCTTTCATCACCTTCCATGTTTGCCACTTATGTTTATTTTTCCACTTGTGTCTGTTAGTATCTCTGCGCCAACTTTTCCTACATCATTTATACACAGCCTAGTTGTTACCCTACTTACCAAGTCTCTCCACCACTATTTCTAAAAACATCACCGTCAACATTTAGCTTGTGCAAACACGGCACCTCCCATTGTGGCAAACGAGCGGGTGTTAGAGGCGATTGTTATGTTGGTTCCAGAGTTGGTGGTTCAGCAGTAACGTACCTAACTCTCACTTTTAATGTCCTGGGTTCAATCCCCGGCCTGGGTCAGATGTGAGAAGGGTGTTATTCTCTGGGTACTGCGGATTCTTCTTGTACTAACGTAGGGCAATGAAGGTCGATTTAACGTATAGACCAACCACCCGGCTGATATTGGTGATAGGATAAATTATTTAAATTAAGGGAGGTTGTTTTCCCCCTCCCATTCTCCCCCATAAGTATCGCGTCTACCTGATTTTGATGCCCTACCCACATGCCGGTGGCCCGTTAGGAGACGTTGGCTGCATCTTGAGGACACATTGTACTTAAAGTTAGACAATCGCACTCGGAGGGGGCCAGCGTTTTAAAGTCAAATAAGCTCGTTATGACCAGTTGTGCCCCCCAAACTGGACGTGTTACATCATTGTTCTCCTTCCCTAACCAGGGCGAGGGCAGTGTAATCGTTCTGTAACCTCTTTGTCAGTCCACACAGAAAGTTAAGGCTGTCTGCAGAGTTTGGTAGAAGTACTGGTAGTGGTCAGCATGATGGAACACAGTCGGGGATCAAGAGTAAGCAGTGTAGTGCAGTGTTCCATTCATCATATATGAATTGTTTAACCAGATTTACTGTTATTATTACTGAAACTTTTTATGAATAAATTATAAACACATTGTCTCAGATATTAAAGCTGGTCAAATACTTATTTGTCAAGTCTGAAGCAGATGATGTCCTCACTTCTCTTCCTATATAACATTCCCTCATCTGTATTCTTCAGCACTATTGCCACTGTTTTGCTACTGTCGGGGAGCTGCCGCAGGGAGTCTTAGGTCACAGTATGTCACCACTTGCTTGTACCTGATAATATAGATGTGCTTCTTGTCTAATTAACCCATTGAGTTGTATTTGACAGCGTGCTTTATATAATGGGTTGAGGGATAAGGTGGCCACTTTTTCTAACCCATGACATTTTTAATATAAGGACAACTTAATCTACACCAATTAACTAAGCTTGCATATTATTGAAAACAAATCACAAAAATAGATTATTGTCTTATCACTACACCCTAACAAGTTATCTACGGTGGCCGAGGTCAGTTACATAATCCTGGAAGTGACATGATCAGTTGTTTGTTTTCCCTAAGTCTTTGCCGTGTTGGTCATGTGAGTTTTACCCGGGAAATTTAGTTTATCGTTTGGCATATTGCTTGACCATTTAGTTTATAGTTTGACATATTGCTTGACCATTTAGTTTATAGTTTGACACGTTGCTTGACCATTTAGTTTATAGTGTGACATATTGCTTGGCCATTTAGTTTATAGTTTGACACGTTGCTTGACCATTTAGTTTATAGTGTGACATATTGCTTGGCCATTTAGTTTATAGTTTGAAACGTTGCTTGACCATTTAGTTTATACTTTGAAACGTTGCTTGACCATTTAGTTTATAGTTTGACGTATTTAGCGTTGCTTGACCATTTAGTTTATAGTGTGACATATTGCTTGGCCATTTAGTTTATAGTTTGACACGTTGCTTGACCATTTAGTTTATAGTTTGACGTATTGCTTGACCATTTAGTTTATAGTTTGACATATTGCTTGACCATTTAGTTTATAGTTTGACACGTTGCTTGACCATTTAGTTTATAGTTTGACATATTGCTTGACCATTTAGTTTATAGTTTGACGTTGCTTGACCATTTAGTTTATAGTTTGACGTTGCTTGACCATTTAGTTTATAGTTTGAAACGTTGCTTGGCCATTTAGTTTATAGTTTGAAACGTTGCTTGGCCATTTAGTTTATAGTTTGAAACGTTGCTTGGCCATTTTTAATACGTTGCCTGACCATTTAGTTTATAGTTTGAAACGTTGCTTGGCCATTTAGTTTATAGTTTGAAACGTTGCTTGGCCATTTAGTTTATAGTTTGAAACGTTGCTTGGCCATTTAGTTAATAGTTTGACACGTTGCTTGGCCATTTAGTTTATAGTTTGAAACGTTGCTTGGCCATTTAGTTAAAAGTTTGAAACGTTGCTTGGCCATTTAGTTTATAGTTTGAAACGTTGCTTGGCCATTTAGTTTATAGTTTGAAACGTTGCTTGGCCATTTAGTTTATAGTTTGAAACGTTGCTTGGCCATTTAGTTTATAGTTTGACACGTTGCCTGACCATTTAGTTTATAGTTTGAAACGTTGCTTGGCCATTTAATTTAGAGTTTAATACGTTGCTTGGCCATTTAGTTTATAGTTTGAAACGTTGCTTGGCCATTTAATTTAGAGCTTAATACGTTGCTTGGCCATTTAGTTAAAAGTTTGACACGTTGCTTGGCCATTTAATTTAGAGCTTAATACGTTGCTTGGCCATTTAGTTAAAAGTTTGACACGTTGCTTGGCCATTTAGTTTATAGTTTGACATATTGCTTGGCCATTTAGTTTATTAAGTTGTACAGTATATAACTTTATAATCTATTGAGTGACGTAAAAAGACAACAACTGTGAAACGCAGAAGGAGTTAACAGTAAGTCTTATACATTGTGCCAATTATAAGGAGTTAATTTGGGCGACTTTTAATTGAGATATTTACCCACCTTGTTAAGCATTGTTTGTTTTTAGTCTTTTAAGTCTTTATATTAGTTCGGCGACATATGACCTAAGCTGTTGCATCGCCTGGGATGTAATTATCACAATCAATCAATCAACCAATCAACCTAACCCAACCTAACCACCCAAGTAGAGGTGGCTGTTGCAAAATAGAAGTAAACGAGACTGGGAGAACAGAACCTGAACGTGATACACAACATATCTGCCTGAAGTTTACCAATCAGAAGTAGCAAGATTCACCTGATGAATGACTATAATGGTGTTGCGTGTTGTCCCCATCAGGTATTTCTCATTATCCATCTACCTCGTGTTGTCTTAATCTAGATACTTTGGGTCACTGAACTACTTATCTTTTGTTGCCATGTATTTCTAAGAATCTTTTATTCTTATTAAACTTCGAGGATTTCAATATATAAGACAAAGAAGCTTGAGGAACTTTAAAACTTCTCTGCTGTACTAAACCTTTCTTTGTGAGTAATCTGGGGAGCTTATTTTTCATTGCGTAACCCAACCTAATCCATCCCATCTCATCTCAAATCATCCCATCCCATCCCAACCCAAAAATGTTTTTACTTATCCTATTTGTAAGTAACCCTTGGAACTTTCCCCATTGCCACTGTGTTATTGATGATAATTCTCACCACGCTGATATTTGATAAGATAACCGTTTTATGTGTCACTCGGACGGTAAAATGTTTTTTAAAACAGTTGTTACTTAAATTATACTGTGACTATTTTTTTTAGTTCGAGATTTTGTGTTTCTTGGTATCAGTTTAAAGTAACTTGTTAAGAAATCATTTTGTTAAGTAGTATATTCCTCTGGGAGTAAAAATTCGCGTTTATTTCCACAGCTAAAGGTGATATGAAATTGCCTAACTCGTCACCATTATCTCTCTCTCTCTCTCTCCACAAAGGTATCTGTGGCGCCGTGACCAAGTTAAGGATAAATTTAATTACTAGTTTATTGACCACACTAGAAGGAAGAGGGAGGGGGTGGGGGTCATCTCCACACCATGTCAAGAGATGTGGTCAACTATATTAATGAGGTGATAATACAGCGGTTAATTTCTCCCTCCATGATCTAGAGTTACCTAATGCTTGATACAAATCTTGGGAAGCGATATGTGAAGTCTGTTTCCTAAGTGGTTGTGTCTCTAGTTTGACTCATGTAGGCTGGCTGGGTTATCTTATTGCTATCTTATTTACCGATAATGATGTTATTGTCAAGTATTTATAAAATATGTCATTATTGGTATAGAACGAACGCTATACATTATTTGGCTAATTTAGGTCTCTCTCTCTCTCTCTCTCTCTCTCTCTCTCTCTCTCTCTCTCTCTCTCTCTCTCTTCTTAAAAATCAATTTAGTATATAAGTCTTTGCAGTGTTGAAATTCTACATACCATTTATCAACAGTCATCACATATTATGGGCAGTTAACATAAATTCTTGTAATGTGTAAATTATGCTTAGCTCACACGACAGGTTGAATACAGCGGAACTACATTACACTGCTTTTTGAAATCATTAGCATTATTGAGGTTTGGGGAAGAATTATCTGATTTGTGCTGGTGAGTTGGTCTTGTTGTGTGTGTGTGTGTGTGGTTGGGTGAGCAAGGAGAGCACCTGGTTACATTAGCTATCACACAAGTGGCGGCGATTCCTCAAACATCACAAGAACCGAAGCTGTGTAGATTATTCTTGTTGATTATCTTTAGTAGACCGTCTTGTAACTCGTCGGCATTGCTTTAAGTTTGTGACTATTTTAAAAGACGCACACACACACACACACACACACACACACACACACACACACACACACACACACACACACACAGCCCAGATGCTACGACGTGTGACTTTGTACCCACATAAAGTTTAGTCTCATAGTAAGTGGAGTGTCGGGAGGTGGAGGAGACCTGGTAGAAGTATTCCACCATTGTTTAAGTAATCATAAACCACACTCCACCACCCCTTCCACCTAATGAGTTATGGTAGTGGTGTGTTGATATTCCACCTGTCTCTATATTTATCGTTGTATTGCATGTAAATAGCCTTTCACTTCCTCAGCCTTGGGAATAATAGCCTCGCCGTTCACTTTACCTGTATCCAAACTTGTCGAG